CAAACAAGCATAGTTTTCTTGAAAAGACAACCAGCAAAAGTTAGCCCTTCCTGATAATTTATTGTGTAACCAAGTGCAGCTATTAATACCACAGAAAGAGTCAAACATCCAAAAACTTCAGAGGTGCACCAAACATCTAAAGTCCCCTTGTAGGGATGCAGGAAAACAAACAAAGTGATATCTTGAGGAGCAAACTTTTGAAAAACAAACTTATGTGTAAAAAGCAAAGTGAAATGGTAAAATCCTTAAGGAAATGTTTTAGTGGTGGTAAAGGGAGTTCAAAAAGTTGCATTAGGTCACAAGTTCAAATCCCAAATATGCCATTTGCACATAGCGGCCAATAAGTGGGTGCAAACCTTGGAGACCAGGGTTCAAGGCAAAAAAATACGAGGTGATTTCTTCCCAAGTACCTGTGCTGGTGGACAGTACCAGGCACACAGTGGAACAATCGAGGTGCGCGGAAGCGGTCCAGACACCGCCATTATAAAAAGAGGGTAAAAATCACAGATATCATAACGTTTTTTGGACTGGTAACCAAAATATAGAACATTAAAAACATAGAATGATGTGAAAGCAGATATACCTAAGCATATTGGACATTCTACATCTTTACGAACTTGAAATAATTGTGCGAAAAAACTTCTCTCGTCGAAATCCTAGCAAAAAACTCGAAGCTGTAAATATTCAAATATGACAAAATAAAATAACAAAGAGTACCTAAGCATATAGGACATTGTACATTGGTGCGAATCTCAGATCGTGACACGGCAATCAATCTGCAGACAGGCAAAGATTATGAAGTTATAAAACCACATCAGATACCCAGAAAACGAAAATGCTGCAGATGCCGATCATTCTACCAAGCAAACAATATAGAAAATATGCTATCTCTTGATAATCATTAAGATAAATAAGGTTCTATACTCTGGAGAAGACTGATTGCAATCTGTACAGTTTAACTTTCAGTTCAGCATGCAAAAGGGCAACCTATTTGAGTATTATGTAATTCATACTCACAAGTCTTATAGTAAGGCAATAGTATTCCCTGCATATTCAACAGAAGTAGTGACTTTATATTGGTGAAAAATAATGCCTGCATAATTTGGATCAGGCATGCATACCGCAATAGCATGCACGACACTACATGATTACATCCTTATAAACATACTGTAAATCTTTACAGTCATTTTCAAATTTGAAAGACGTTCATTTGAACAAAATTACTGTTTTAGCCCAAATTCTTACACTTGGGGCAGGATCCAGATACCTAAAGATTGAGAATACAAGTAAATGCAAAAGTAGAGCATCAAGAAATGTAATTGAAAAAATAGGTAAGACATAAGTGTGATTAAGCTATAAAGATGGATTCTTTGCAGCTAAAAACCATACCGCAATAGCATTTCCAACTTCACAATCAGTACTCTACTTATAGAAAAAGTCTTCCTTTAGAAGTCCACATAATAAACCAATGAAGGGCACATGCAGTAATGTCTTGCGCATTAAATCAAGCAGCACAAGTGCATTAGAAACTTAGCCAAAATTAAAGTAAAAAATCACAATCAAACAAGTTTAAAAGTAAAAGGCAACACGAAATTAAACATGCAGAGAATTACTCATCAAAGGCTTCAGGGTCAGTGCCACTTCCCTCAGAATCTGCAGCATAAAATCAAGCCAAACAAATCATTAAACAACAAACGCAGAATAACCAAAAACATTAATGCACGGTAAAAAACACACATTCATAACAGTAAAAAAAAGGCAATGCAAACACAGATTTGGAATTTAGATACGTAACCATCTTCAGAGGATTGGTTAATTTCCTCTTGATCATCCTCATCCTCATCATCATTATCTTGGGCTTGAGTTTGCTCATCTTCCTCTTCCTCCTGCTCATCTACTTGTTGCTCTTCCATATTAGCTCGTGTTTGTTCGCCGGCAACACGTCGTGAATGTTTCCGCCGGCGGTGCTGATGCTGGGGAGAGTTCTCATCATCGTCTTCGTTGTTGTTATTGTCATCTTGATAATTCGACAAATAGCGTTTCTGGGCTGGCATTTTTTTTTTGGTTATTGAAAATTTGTTGGCCACCGCTTGGTTATAAGTTTCAGAATGTGTTGGCTTTATTGGGTGTTTGGAATTGGAAGAAGATAAAGCAGAGAGTTAAATTGAATGAAAGCATAAATTTTACACTTTGTAGCAAAAAGAGAGAAAGGGGGTCTGAAGAAGAGTAGAAGAGAAGAGAAAGAGGAGAGAAGAGTGGACTGGGGTATGACAGATTTTCAGCTGCCTTTTCTTTTCCTTTTTAGGACTATATATTCTCTCTTTTGTTCACATATACATGTTCTTACAAGTTTGCAACTTTGTACACTATTTCTTCATTTTTCTTTTTACTTTTAATTTTTTTTTTTTTTGAATGGAGGGCAGATGTTGAAAATCTATATTTTGTGTGTTTTGAATTATGTTGAAAGTAATTACAACGTTTTTCAAAAAAAATATATTACACGTGTTAAACAACTGGACACGTGTTACACGTCACTCTTGTTTTTGTTCTTTTTAGTTAACTTGAAACGACAATGTCTAGATACAAATTGCGTTCACACGAGAAGATTGTAATTTTTATTAATGATTGATGTATTTACTAATTAAGATCATGTGTCAATTATGTATAAAATTATAAAACTTTCTTGTAAATGGATGGAACGTATCTGAAATACGGATAAACGAATCTGAAATAAGAATAGGCGCATTCACTATTTTCACATTTCTTATAGCAAAAAAATAATAAATATAGTATTATGAACTCATATCTAATTACTTAAAATCTTAAATTCGCTTCTTACTATTACTTACAATCCTTTTACACATCATGAAATCAAAATAGTTTCATCTTGTGGCCATGCATAGAGTAGTTAGAACTTAGAAGCATTACTTTAAAATTCAAGTACGTGATCATGTATCTCTCAAATATACAAGAACTTCAGAACTATGAATAAACCTTTTGATATACTGGAGTTTCATCGTTACATAATTGCATGCATAAGTAATATAGGGTGTTTGGCATGAAAGAAAAATATTTTCCAGAAAATGTTTTACAATTTTCCCATGTTTGGTTGGCTTAAATATTTTGAAAAATATTTTTCTTATGAATTCATTTTCCTCTGATTGGAGGAAAATGTTTTCCTTATCGAAAGAAGGGAAAACATTTTCCCAAACTCCTTCTCAACCTTCCCCACTTTCACCAACCCCNAAAAATATTTTTTAAATATATTTTTCAATTTTAATTTTTTTATTTATCGGTTTAAAGGTTCAAATTTTACAAGTTCCAAAATTATGAGTTCAGAGGTTTATGTGTTTGGAAGTTTACAGGTTTAAAAATAATAAAGTTTACGGGTTCAAAATTCCGCGATTTTGAAAGTTTAGCGGTTCGAAAGTTTGTAAAATTTGTGGGTTCGGAAGATTGTTGGTTTGAAAGTTTATGGCTTCATTTTTATTATATCTAAATTATTTATGAATACTCTTGAGAAGTCATTTTCCTTAATTTATGTACCAAACACCGGAAAATGAATAAGATTACTACTTGTTTTCCAAGAAAACATTTTCTTGGAAAACATTTTCCGTTATACCAAACACACCCATAATCTTGTACTATTTCATCAACTAATTTGACTGCCATTAATTTCCTCTCTTTTTTCCCTTAATGCTATGACAATAGCAATTTATCAACGAAAACAAATACAAAATTATGTAGTTGTAAAATTACTAGTTATGAAATTAACCATTGTTTGGACCAATTTAACGATTTCAACATGAATAGTGTATGGGTCGAAATTTGGACGACTACGATCGATACCAAGTGTATCGGAGAGCAAGGTCCCTATGACGCCGCGTCTTAAGGATCGTTACGATAGGACGACGATTGACAGTGGCTAGCAAACGTATGACGTCTGTGGACGCGTTAGCATGATGAGGAACAATGGGAATACGCCTTTCTAATATTCTTTGTGTTGTACTTTCCTTCTTTTAGGGTAAAAAAGGAGATTGTCTCCTATAAAAGGGGACCAAACATTCTGTAAAAGGGGGGATTTTTTGGATCACAATTCTGAGAAATATATACGACTTTTACTTGAAGCTAAGAATATCTGTTGCAAAATCTCTCTACATTCAAAATTGTCGTATTTATAATTTGTCGTTCAACTCTGAAATACAAAGAAATATTGTTCATCTTGTTCATTCTTAGCATCCTTCAAGCTAGATCTTGTTATACTTGGCTGAGATTTACCCCTTCAACTTTCTTAATTGATTTAATCAAAAAGGTTTCAATATCTTTTGGTCAAACAATTTGGCGCCGTCTATGGAGATTTCTTTAGCTAAGATTTTAGTCTCATCTAGACTCTTGAACAGGATAACCACCTCTTCCTAGCTTTGTATAAACTAATAATGGCAGGGAAAGGAGATGCAAGACTGAAAGCGATAGTAGGCGTCACAACCAACCTTCTGAACACCATCAACGAAAATAGCAGGGAAGATAATGTAAATGAAACGTCGGGCATCACACCCAGGGGAGACGATTCACCTCCCCCGCACGAAGTGTAACTGCTTCACGCGAGAAGGAAGCCTCCACATCTGCAACAGGAGAGGCACCACCAGTAGTGCAAAGACTGTTGGAAGAATGGCTAACGAGTACTCTGAACGCTATACTTGACAAACCTGGCCAAAGGGATAACAGGAATGTTGCACATGCAGATGTCACGATAAACGTTGATGAGCAGGATGCCCCCCATACAGGTAACACTTATGTCGCTAATGATGCAATTAATGATATGCTTGCAGCTGTTTTAAAGAAAATGGAGGAGATGGAAAATGAGAATAAAGCACTTCGCAACCAAATGAAGGAACACCAAGAGAGGGTGGACAAAATACAAGGTGCTCCAAAGTTGTTGCCAAAATGTGAAACCATACAGTGACGAAGAGGCCACCTACGCTATCCCAAAGACCTTCAAAATGTCACCCTACCTAAAGATATATGATGGTACTACCGATCCAGAGGATCATATCATCAATTACGTTATAGCCGTGAAAGGTAACGATCTTTCAATAGAGAAGGTACCATCGGTGCTATGGAAAAAATTTGGCGAAACCCTAACAGGGGGAGCCTTGACATGGTACTCTCAGCTACCGGCACGCTCGATAGCAACATTCGAGGAAATGGTAGATAAATTTGTTACCGCCCATGCAGAAGCCAAAAAGGTAGAAGTTAGGGTAAATGATATATTTACCGTAAGGCAAATGCACAATGAGGGACTCAGAGACTTCTTAGCTCGGTTTAACAGGGTGAGAATGAGCCTGCCGAATGTGTCGTAAGGAATGGCAGTAGCAGCCTTCCAGAACAGGCTAAACAGGAACGGGTTCGAGAGCTACCAAAAAATTGCTAAACAGGCTCAAGAAATACCCTCCAACTACTTGGGAAGAAATCCACAATGCTTATTGTGCCGAGATACGAGCTGACAAGGACGACCTCAATGGGCTGACCCAACGGTTGACGTCACTTCAAGCTGAAGCAAGGAAAGATCGCCGCAACGATGGTAGAAGAGATCAGTTGGGGCCCCGCCTCGACCAAGAAAGGCATCAGCCTTACATCAGGATGTCTGCCCCATCCCCACCACGACACACAGATGCTCCCCCCGACATACAGCATCATATCGACACGAGAAAGGTATGCCTCCACTCCTATCTGCTCACAAATTTTGTGTTTCTCCTTCATAAATAGTTTATGTACTGGAGAAACTCGATCTAAAGGTGCAATGGCAGCAAAAAATGAGGTCAGACCCTATCACCCAAAAGTCAAGCACCTTATGAGAATTTCACTAAGAAAAGGGTCACAAAACCGAAGATTGTATAGGACTTCGACAGGAGGTAGTGTGAATGCTAGTCCAGGGACACCTGAAAGAATTGCTAAGCGATCGAGGACGGGCTAACTTCGCCCGCAGATGCGAACAACCCCAGGGACCTCCAAAACTACCTTCTCCCACTCGCACTATACAGATGATCATCGGCGGAGTCGATGGCGTAGCAATCAATCATGTCAAATTCACCACCACACATAAACTCAAACGACCAATCACCCACGAACGATATGATGACCTCGAAGACAGTATCATCTTCGATAAGTTAGATGCCGGCGATTTGTCTTTCCCTCACTATGATGCTCTTGTTATCACTTTACGTATCACAGATACTGATGTAAAAATAATAATGGTAGACGATGGGAGTGACGCTTGTATTATCCATCCTCGAGTCCTCGTGCAGATGAGACTCAAAGATAAAATAATATTGCATTGTATAACGCTAATAGGTTTTAATAATGCAGTTGAACGGACTTCTAGAGAGATAGTGCTACTCGTCCTAGCCAGAGGAGTCACCCTGGAAACAATATTTCATGTCATGAACCAGGAAACGACGTACAACGCCATCATAGGACGCTCATGGATACATGCCATGAGAGCGGTCTCTTCCAGTCTCTATCAAGTGATCAAGTTTCCAACCCCATGGGGAATATTCAGCATTCAAGGGGAGAAGCGCACCGCACAAGAATGTTATCGCATCGCCCAAGATTGTGCACACACCCAACAACTCAAAGGAGTGGGTGCGTAAGCATAGCAATCAGCAATGTCGAGAGTCAAATTTGACGTGCGGACAGACGTTATCAAGGACCCTGACATTGTGGAAGCATCCGAATCAACAATAGAAAATCTTGATCTCGTTCTGCTAGACAGCAACGACAGCACAAAAAAGGCTTATATCGGGCACAACCTCTCGGAACCAGGTAAGTTTCATAAGTTCTTGACTGACCATGTAGATATGTTTGCTTTCTCCCATGCAGATATGCCAGGCATCCTAAAAGACATTGCCACCCACAAGCTAAATGTCGACCCCATTTATCCGTCGGTGCGGCAAATGAGAAGGAAGTTCAACGCCGCTATCAATGAAGCCGTTAGCAAAGAGGTCAATAAGCTGCTCGCGAATGGTTCCATCTGGGAATCAAAATATCCTTAATGGGTCGCCAATATGGTCATGGTAAAAAAAATGGAAAGTGGAGGATGTGTGTAGATTTCACGGACCTAAACAAGGCACGCCCAAAAGATTCTTTTCCATTACCACATATCGACCAGCTCATCGATGCAACAACAGGACACGAGTTGCTAAGCTTCTTGGATGCCTATTCGGGTTACAATCAGATCCTCATGGAAGAAGAAGCCTAGGAGAAAACCACTTTCATCACTCATCAGGGAACATACTGCTATAAAGTGATGTTGTTCGGGCTAAAAAATGCGGGGGCAACATATCAAATATTGGTCACCAAAATGTTCAAAAACCAACTCGGTAGAACAATGTAAGTATACATTGTTGGTTAAGTCGAAAAGGAAAGAAGATCATATCGACCATCTGAAGGAAGCCTTTGATATTAAGACGGTACAATATGAAGCTGGACCCCGAAAAATGCGCCTTCAGTGTAAGATCGGGTAAGTTCCTCGGTTTCCTCATATCCCAAAGAGGCATCGAGGTCAACCCAGAATCGATTAAGGCAATCGAAGGAATACCTGAAATGCTGACTAGCAAAAAGCAGGTGCAGAAGCTGACAGGACGGATAACCGCCTTATCAAGATTCATCTCGCGGTCATCGGATAGATGCCACAAATTCTTTAATGTATTAAGGAAAGACAATGGACTTCAATGGAATTCGGAATATGTCGACGCCCTAAGAAAACTGAAGGCATACTTGTCTTCACCACCCTTACTCGCCAAGGCAGACCTAGGAGAATGTCTCTTGGTCTACCTGGCTGTATCCGAAGTCGTGGTAAGTACAGTTCTAGTCCGACAAGACAAAGGTACGCAATCACCAATTTATTATATCAGCAAAACCTTAATTGACGCCAAAACGAGGTACCCCCACCTCGAGAAACTGGCTCTAGCATTAGTCATAGCTTCATGAAAGCTTAGACTGTATTTCCAATGCCACCCCATAAAGGTAGTAACAATCGTTCCCCTCAGGAGTATCCTACACAAACGCGAACTATCGGGAAGTTTGGCCAAATGGGCCATAGAATTGAGTGAGCATGATATAACATATCAACCGTGAACCGCGATAAAGTCGCAAGTACTTGCCAACTTTAGTACGGAAATACTGCCCGAAGTCGAGCAAGAAGAACTTCGCACTTCACCTGATCGATTTGGCCTCTGGGTCCTCTACACCGATGGCGCGTCCAACGCCTCGGGATCGGGACGGAACTCATACTTGAAGTCCCGACGGGAGAAGTTATTCGTCAATCCGTACGATGCCTGAAATGACTAACAATGAGGCTGAGTGTCGTGCCCCCTTTTTTCCTTCTTTACAGGGAAGTCTGGGTTTCGACATTCATGGGGGAGATAATTCATTTCCTTTTGGGAATTGGGTATTTGAAGAGTCGCCACCTAACAAGATTATGGTGCGTTAGGGCACCTAGAGTAATTAACTCTTGGACTAGTTTGCATTACCAGAGAATAGGGTAAGGGCTCGAAATAACCTTGAGGGAAAGGTGTTAGGCACCTCTCGCAGTCCACACGGTGGGTCCCGAGCGAACTTAAACTACGTGAATTAGTCAATTTAACACAAACAGTTTTAACACGTACTTGCAAGTAAAGGCATGTTTGACATTCTAAGCACATGTATGATTCAAATAAGAGGATAAGGGAAAAGGTTCAAACAGGTTGCACATGTATAAAGAAAAGTAAATTTATTTAAACAACGGTAGTTGGGAAAGAGGGGTCCTAGGTTGGTTAGCCTATAGGATCATACCCACACAATGCCCGGTAAACACTCCTCAACGAGGGGCTACACGTGACATTAGCGCATAGTCATCATTCTTACTATTCAATTCCCTCCCCTTGGTCATAGCCTAAAACATTCTAGAAAACTTTAAAGATATCCTATGCGTGCACTATCCGTCCCTTCCTTATGGTCAAGGAGGTAGTTAGGACCTCTAATTTAGGTAGTTCTAGACCACCCTAAGGTTCTTAAAGGAGAAAAATTGAGGCGTCAATCAAAAACAGTTAGGATTATATTTAAAGAGGGAACAATTAAAGGCACACATTCACCTCCATAAACATAACAAATAAGTGCATGTCTCAAACAACAGTTTCAAAACCTTAGAACATTAGAAAATATACAACATTGAATTAGAACCAGAATGTCAAGGACCTGTTTAGTTGTCTACTAATTTTAGATAGTCGGTCATGAGCAGGCACAGATAACAAACACAATATTGCAGTTTGAAGAATTTTAATTGCCCTACCGGCTTGCCTAGGCGCATAACAGTGATGTCCTTATGAGCATGATATCTATATTGATGTAGTAAAACAGTAAAACGATTTTAAACGGCAATTTGGATCCTATAGGCATGATTTTTAACAATATTACTTAAAGCAGCGTTGGAGACTTGTTAAAGAAACGGACAGACTAGTTAACTAAACCAATTCAGAATATATACACATGGATTACACCGACTTTTCTAACTGAACTACTTTAAGTCCTATAGGCATGATTTCTAATTAAGCATAAGGTGAAACAATCAGCATTCAATTAACCAAAGTGAAACCCCTATAGGCATGAATTCTATAGAGCTGATTTTAACCTTATAGGCAGGATCTCAATTATTAAAGCCAGTTTAGACCCTATTGGTATGGTTTCTAACTGTGTGGAAATAAAGTAAACACATTTGAATCAACATGGACACTTTAAGCATAGTATCTAACCTATTTACCCACAATATATAACTACCCTCCCCTTTCGCTAATCACCCCACTGTTTGTTACAAAAATTACTATAGACCAATGAATTAAATAAAAATTACATAAATAAAACAGAAATTAATCTATAGGGAGCCTGAAGTAGGCCCAAATGACTTCCAAGCCTCCAGTAGTCTCAAATGCTCAAAATTCATAGTCAATTCTATGTCTAGGTGTGTCAGAGTTCCCTAAGGACCTCATGGATCCCGGGCAGTGCTCACACCTAAACCTTTCTCAAATAATAACTGATTTAGGTGCAGTCCGGAAATGCCAGCCCTAACATGCTAGAGTTCAGAGAGATCTCAAGGGTCTCAAGGCAATACACATATTAGAGGGGCAGGACCTAGTATTCTAAGAGTAAGTGGAAGTGCATGATATTTTGTAAGAGTTTAATAGAAAGGTTTTAAGACTAAAAAGAACTTTTGAAACCCATTAGTGATAAAAGTGAGGGAAAGTATAAAGAAGCAATTTTGCAATCAGAACACAAGACAGGGACCAAACAAGCTTTAGGAAGTAACTTTAGCAGCTTTCACACAAAGGGAAGAGGGATTCAGAATATAGAGAGTACACCTTAATGAAGCATACATACAATAGGATACATAGAGTTTTAAGGGGGTTCTACAAAACTAGCAGGTAGAATGCAGGTCATGCAGCAAAGATCACAACCGAAATATGTTGAAACCATTCTAGGGAGAGTAATCAATTTAGTAGGAGTGAGGCAGAACATGCAAAGATAGGTGAGGGCATGCTAATTACACAAAGGCAGAGTCTAAGCATGCTATATAAACAGAAGTCAGTCTAGGACATGTTTAGTTGTCTACTGATTTTAGATAGTCGATCATGAGCAGGCACAGATAACAAACACAGTTTTGCAGTTTGCAGAATTTTAATCGCCCTACAGGCTTGCCTAGGCGCATAATAGTGATGTCCTTATGAGCATGATATCTATATTGATGTATTAAAATAGTAAAACAATTTTAAATGGCAATTTGGATCCTATAGGCATGATTTTTAACAATATTACTTAAAGCAGCGTTGGAGACTTGTTAAAGAAACAGACAGACTAGTTAACTAAACCAATTCAGAATATATAGACATGGATTACACCGACTTTTCTAACTGAACTGATTTAAGTCCTATAGGTATGATTTCTAATTGAGCATAAGGTGAAACAATCAGCATTCATTTAACCAAAGTGAAACCCCTATAGGCATGATTTCTATAGAGCTGATTTTAACCCTATAGGCAGGATCTCTATTATTAAAGCTAGTTTAGACCCTATAGGTATGGTTTCTAACTGTGTTGAAATAAAGCAAATACATTTGAATCAACATGGACCCTATAGGCATGGTATTTACCCCATTTACCCACAATGTATAACTACCCTCCCTTTTCGCTAATCACCCTCCTATTTGTTTACAAAAAATTAGTACAGACAAATGAATTAAATAAAAATTACATAAATAAAATAGAAATTAATCTATAGGGAGCCCGAAGTAGGACCAAATGACTTTCAAGCCTCCAGTAGTCTCAAATGCTCAAATTCATAGTCAATTCTATGTCTAGGTGTGTTAGAGTTCCCTATGAATCTCAAGGATACCGGGAAGTGCTCACACCTAGACCTTTCTCAAATAATAACTAATTTAGGTGCAGTGTGGAAATGTCAGCCTTGACATGCCAGAGTTCAGAGAGATCTCAAGGGTCTCAAGGCAGTACACATATCAGATGGGCAGGACCTAGTATTCTAAGTGTAAGTGGAAGTGCATAATAGTTTAAAAGAGTTTAATAGAAAGGTTTTAAGACTAAAAAGAACTTTTGAAAACCATTAG